TACCGTATCCTCAAGTTTGCCCAGTAACATGTGAATATTTGTACACCAATCGGTCCAGCGGAATCTCTAAATCCAGAAAAATATATCAGTGGTCGAGCATTTCCGCTTTCTTGAGCAGATATAGCTATTTTTCTAAAGCCAACTCAAGGCATGATGGGATTTCTGGGCGGTTATCCGAAAAGCAGGTAATCTTTCTGCACAAGATATACATATTTTGAATAGGTCATATGCGGTTGCTATACTCTCATCATTTGTTGCCGATAACATTAGTCTGAAGATTCTCTAGTTTCAATTTTCCTTCCGTGCCAATTGATAGCCATCGCTATTGCATAATCTTTCGAAAGACACTCAACAATATTTAGTGACTTCGTAAATGTTGATTATCAAACTGTTGAAAGAATAGATTAACGAATTTTGAGAATTTTGAATTATGAACATTGAGAATTTTAATAGATGTGGAAGCGTTAGTGCAGATCTTTGCATTTGCGAATAATTTATGATAATTTGAAAAGAGAGCAATGCTATTTGCTTGAATATATGCTGTCTTTGATTTTGAATTTTGATATGCTGTTAAATTGCGATGCTGAAAATTATTTTTGACTGTGTTACGTTAACGAGACGGGTGACTAGAACAAAATGTCTGAAGTTGCGAGTACTGAGGGAGCGAAGGTATGCTTGAATTATACCATGAACATATATAATTTGTAAGCTTTTTTCATCGAATTTGTCAATTTCTCGTTTCTCAGAACGATGAGCTTAGTTATTCACTTGTCAAATCAGCTTATAATTAATAGTGAACATTCTGTTCGGAGACTTCGCCGAAGTCTCAACGAATAACATCGCTTCGATCACAATCTGTTCATTGCATTACACGTCCTCATCTGTGAATTATTTTTTCATTGAAAAGTGATTTGAGGCAAGCACTGAGACCCAAACAACAGCGGCTACGACTGCACCCAGCACGGTAGTTTCTGCTGCTGAATCGGGCACTAAAACAGTGAGTTAAAAATTTGTTGAAATTATTGCAAGCGAAATGCAAATGATCTAAATTGACTCGTTAAGCAAGTGATTCTCACGTTTGGGTGCTCTATTGACCCTTTTGATGATCTGGCCTAGATCGTTGTGTTGCTCATTATTGCAATCGATTATGATTGCATGAAAAGCTATTGTTTGTGATATGCTCATTTCGAACTGATTCAGATGGATTCTCATTCTTTTC